AACTTTCTCTAGTAAAGTATAAATTAATTCTTCAGCAATTAAATCATAAAATATACCTAGTGTTTTTGAAAATGTTTAATAGTAAGTCCTGGACGGTTCAATATCTATCGACGTTCATGGTACAGAATTGAGAAACTAAATTGTTACAAATTAAGAATTTTTTGTTTTTATGTTAGAAAAATAGAAACAAATGGCACATATAATAAAACGTAAGTGCCTTATATAATTGAACACACCAACACTACAGCGAATTTCTTATTTTGTACCTATATATTTTTTTTCTTTGGTAGTATTGTCTATACTCTATAATGTGTTAAAAACTATAGTTTGAAAGTAATAACAATACATTTACAATTGCAACCTCGAAGTATATGAGATAATTTTAACGAAATATTATTGATAAATCATATTATAGTTAATTTTCCGTTTCAATGACACATTCAGTAAAATAGGTATATGTGGATAAATTCATAATGTTGGTGTAAATGGTATGAAAAAAAATAATATTATGTTGAATAAAAATAAATGTTTTGCTGATTTATAAAGTAAAATACTGCTTTAGGACTCTTTACAGCCTACAGGTACATGCAGGTAAGTAGGTTACAATAATATAACATATTATGGAAAAATATTGGTGAATGGAGACGGACCATTATATTAATACGTTATAGAATTGAATACTCGAGTATTAGTCCACAGCAGTTAGAGTTTTTATTCGGAATAAATCAAACAAAAGGTTTTGATTGGTTTTTCGCTATATTTTAGGGTCCTGATTATTCTCCTAAAAGTCCCCGGTGATAACGCATGTGCTAAAATTTTAAGGGTGGTTTTAAGGGGTGAAAATTGCTCAAAAATCAGTTTTTCACTAATACCTCTTAAAACATCAACTGGAAGACTAAAATACCTATATACTAAATTAAAGCTGAGTAAATTATCTATAAAAAAGTATCCTAAGTCTTTAAGCCTACAATCAAAAGGTTTCAAAAAAAAATTTAAGTTAAAAATTAGTATTGATAAGAACTTTTTTTCCAGATGGATATTTATGAAAATCGTCATTGTACGGTCCAAGCTAACACACTTTAACTTTCATTGATATTTATAGTACATTATTTTTACTCTATTCCACACCACCTACGGAGGTTGAGTATTAGGCGCGTTTTTTTTTACGTGGTATCCCTAGTAGGCCTATTCCACAACTACAAAACTCTATCACGAATAAAAATAAAAAATTTACCAAAACATTTTGAGTTAGATTTCTTCTTCTTCCTCCATCTCATATCCGTCGCTATAATAGACATTTTCTGGTGTTTCAATTTCTTCAGTTGCCTGCTCCATGACATCTTTGGTGTAAATAGAACTATTATTGGAATTATCATTCTCCTCGACCGTACTTTCAAGTGGGGGTGAATTGTAGCATGATTGTCCGTGACAGCTAGCGCAAACTGCCGAGCAGTTCAATCCTAGTTTTCGACAGCCACATAGTGCTCCACAACCTTTCACGCACTTGCAGAAAATCATATTAAGTAGGCAATCTGGTGCAGGGAGCTGCAACATTCTTCTTGGGGTTAATACACCTTCCCTTAAAATCCAACCCCAATCTGTGGGATTTAAATCATTACCCAACCATTTTTGAACCTGGTAGTAAACACGTAACAAGTGCATCTCAGCAGCATCAGCAGTCGGTGGAAGTAGATTTAATTTTACTGGCTTATTTTTACTCACAGATTTAATAAAACTCGAGTATCTGTACTCGTTAAGAGAGGTTTCGTTGATGGGTGCTCCATAAATACCAAGCATAAATTTGATACCATTTTCAATCAATTTTTCCCTCAAAACACATATCATAAACGATAACTCGATTATAAAATAATACGATAAGAAAATACAACAAAACTTTAATAGTTCCATCGACGGTCATTTAATGCCTAACTGGAAAAACCCACTGATTAGGCAACGGTGTGTCCCGACTATCTAATAATAATAATAATAATAATAATAATAATAATTATAATATAAATATAATCCAACGTTTCAGAATTTCAGATGTACTATAATACTCAATGAATGTTAATAAAGTGTGTTAGCTTAGACAGTACAACGACGATTTTCATAAATATCTATGTCGAAAAAAAAGTTCCTTCTTATAAATACTTCTTTTTACTTACTTTTTTTTTTGAAACCTTTTGATTGTAGGCTTAAGGACTTAGGATACTTTTTTATAGATAATTTACTCAGCTTTAATTTAGTATATAGGTATTTTAGTTGTCCGGTTAATATTTTAAGAAGAATTAGTAAAAAACTGATTTTTGAGCAATTTTCACCCCTTAAAACCACCCTTAAAAGTTTAGCACATGCGTTATCACCGGGGACTTTTAGGAGAATAATCAGGACCCTAAACTATAATGAAAAACCAATCAAAACCTTTTGTTTGATTTATTCCGAATAAAGCCGTTTTTTTCGCATAACTTCTGTGGACTATATGTAGGTATTCTACATTTCTACCTTTTAAAATCTATATTAAATTGTTATACCTATAGTTAATACTTTGAAACCTAAAAACTAAAAATGTCATACTAATGTGTTGAAAACGAAGGATGTCAGATAAAATAAATTACCTAGGGCGTTATATCATGTGTATTTGGAAGGCTTTATATACCTAGCCCTAACCCGCGCCTAATACGCTTACGATGAGTGCACCCCCAGTGGACTATATATTAAAGAATTACTATTGTACAGGCACTATATAGGGTAAAGACCGCCTAGACTATATTTTTTATTAGTATCTTTACATGCGTTATATATTATTTTTTACTTCATATTCGTGAAAACTGTAAATCGTACTTTTTCATCTTATTGAGAAAGTATTAGATTGTCAATAGTTCAAAATGTGCACACATAAATATATTTTTATAAAGCTCCCCGACTTGATTCTGCTTAAAGGTTTGGGTTGTAATGGTTCTATATACAGAATAGCCCGTAATAATTTTTTAACTTACACGGTGTTTATGGTCAATGGGAATATAATACTTCCTGTTTGACATTAATGTTGGTATACTCTATATTATATACACACTATACAAATTATCGTACTAGGTCGTCCCGCGTTATTATCTCTAGTTTTTCATTGTCTTTCTTTTTACTTAGCGTGCGCTACGACCGTGGATATTTCGGGTCAAATATAAATCGTAGTTCTATATATAATATTATGATGGTATAAATGTAATTTTGTAATTTTCAATGTTTTCTATTGAGCATTGATGTATTGACTTGGATTTTATGTACATTTAGGGTGATGGGTAGAAAATAATTAATCGTTTATACATTATCATTTGTTGTTATGGATCCTCTGCCTTTTTTTCCTTGTGACATTACTACACCAGAGTGAACTGTAGTTTGTACATTGCTTGACACAGACGTTAGGTCCCCAGCCTATTTAGGTAATTGCGTATTCACAATTATTTATAGAAAAAAAGTTATAATTAAAACAACGGTCTTAGGACTTCAGGCCTTTTCATCAACAATGATCTAACTTAATCCTTATCAACCAAAAACCGTAACAGTATTAAACATAATATGTATTACACGTACAATACATATAGTACCTTATAATAGCAGGTAGATAATAAAGAGTAGTATGCAAAATCGAAACTAATTACAGACTAACCGAATTTATACTTAAACACTATTCATTATCAGATGGCTTATAATAAAAAGGTTTAATTGAGAAAGTTAAAAGAAATGTTTAATAAGTCTATAGAAATGTTTAAAATTTGAAAATTATACAACAAACAGAGAAAACCAGCTGATATTATTTAATGTACATGGGGGGTCTCGCGGTGTTTGCAAAACTGTGCTACCAACTCGACTTATGTGGATTTTGGTATTTTCAAAGATTCGATTATGTTGTCCGTAGTACAGCAGGCCTCGAATGTTATGCATTCCACTTTTATTTGCATAATCCGTTGAAATATATACTAGCCTGCAGTGCATAAAACGAAAACAATATAATTTCTGGATAGTGTGTGTATTCGTTATTGTTTATTTTGCTGTTTGTGTTCGGGGGAGATAGACATTGTGATTTGTCGTTTTCGGGAATAAAGCGTGGGCATACAAATATATTATAATACATAAAAAAAATTGTGGAGGAAAGTTCGTATACGACTATGAGAGTATGTATATTTTATATATAATTTGTTTTCTGTACAAGAACGCGAATCGACGTCTAACACTATAATAATGTGAAGTACTATGTATAACATTATTCCTACCTACATTAATACAATAGGTAATAATAATACTATATTAATATGTCAATAAATCACCGTATGTCGTATGTGAAATCGACGGACCAGTAAAAATAACGAGTCTCGCTTCTCGCGTCATTTATCGTAATCACGACAAGAGGGTATGGAGTCGTGTCACATAATATATTATAGGACCGTGGTTAAGGACAAAAAATTTAGAAAAAAAATTGTTTTCGCGTGTTTGGCACACTCTAAATTATTATGGACTACAGAGGACGCCGATATATAATATTATAGGTAGGTACATATGGGTATACTGAGGTGCGCCTGTACCAACGTGTGTGGGTGCAGTGTGTCTATATATTACATTATGTATCTGTACAATACGTAAGGCGGTCTTGGGCCGAGAAATATAAAATATGTCCGTGGCGTGCGGGGTCGAACTTTGCGGGGACACAGCGGTGGTGGCGGTGAGGGTTTTCCGTAGTTATGCGGTCCGCTGATCCCCGCGTACACGGGAAACCTTTTAAAAACTCGGGCGGGCATCGGCCGACGTAATAATCCACCGCGGTGGCCAGTCGTTTCCGGCTTGGCGCGAGTGCGTATGCGTCTGTGCGCGGTACCTACCTATATTATTATTATTATTACGTCGTCTACCGTTCGCGTGTGGGGTAATAAAATACTTAAGTAGGCTTTAAATACTTTTTTTTAGGACAATTATTTTCAAGTTTGATTTAAGAAATCCTTATATATACAATGGAACGGCCTCCGTCGCTTTTGCCGTACATCTACTGCGCGACGTCGTGTATGCTGATGATATCGACGATGACGACCGCCGCGACGGTTACCGTTAACGTTACACATCTGTGCGATACACGGCCCGCAGTAGCCTCGGCTCGGCCTACCACCGACATTGGTATGACGTATTTGTCACCACCTAATGAGAACCTGACGACTAGCCGGTCATCGTCGCTGCCGCCTACCGAAAACCCGACATCTTGGTCGTCATCGACTGCTACCGAAAACCTAACGTCTAGGTCGACATCACGACCTATTGAAAACCTAACGTCTTGGTCGTCGCCACCACTTACCGAAAACCTTAAGTCTTGGTCGACGTCGGCGCCTGTTGAAAACCTTACGTCTCGGTTGTCGTCGCCATCTTTCGAAAACCAGACAACAGTGTCGCCGTTGCTATCTACCGAAAACTTATTATCAGTGCCGTCACCGCCACTTACCGGCAACCGGACGTCGTCGTCACCAACTATTGACAACCGGACATCGTCGTCACCACCTATCGACAACCGGACTTCGTCGTCGCCACCCACGGACGACCAGACGTCGTCAGCGGCCCGTATAACCGAGTTCCTGTTAGCCGTCCGTAAACCGGGGATTATGGGTTTCACGTATGCCAGCCGGACCGCCGTGCAGAGGAGATCGTCCTCGTCGCCGGACGCGTCCGCCGGACCAGTGGCACTCGAGCAGATTGCAGCGTTCCCCAGTGCCAAGTTCCGAGAGAACGTCAAGCTAGACCAACAGACGTCGAGGTCCGACAGCGGCGAAGGATCAGGGACCGTGGCCGCGATCGACCTGTTCGGTGTAGGGATCGTGGTCGGTGACGTCGGGCTCCGGTTTATCGGCGTGGCCGAGGACGCGGTCATGTGGCACAGTATGCCTGCCGAGCTCATTCTTGACCTCTTCAGCAATCCGTATGAATGGGACATCGTGGCGAAAAAAGTAACGAGGCCGACGCGTCTACGATTATTATGTCACCTACTTGCTTAAACTCTTTGGGGGAGTCTCAATGAAATAAAAAACACTTCACAAATAATATATGATAATTAACTTACCAACAAGCAGCCACCCCCCCCCCCCCCCCGCCAACACACACACACATTAACACTAATTGTGCAAATTAACTGATGACACCACCGTTTTTTACCTTTTTCCCGATCATATAATATTTATTTGAATTATTCAATATTATTATTTCGATCTGGTTAACGTTCATATTACGTCATATTATGATATTTTATATTATTATTCCTTTGAGTTCGTGTGAATAATAACTTTTTATTACGTACCCCTTATTGTACATACATAGTAACAGCGGTTTAAAAGGTATTAAGACGATTTATATGTATATAATAATATATTATATCGTGTGCAGTATGCAATATACACAGTGGTAAAGAAAATCTGCAGGAACGAACTTTCAAGTGCATCACACACGCGGCTCTATCTTTGTACAATGTGCAACAGAAAACCACAATGGAATTTGTTTTTAATCTGAGCTGCTTTTCTCTAAGCTTAGCACTATACAGTATATTATAATATAGTTTAAAATTTAACGCGCACACACTCCACACACACATACATTTTAAACAAAGTGATCCATTTAAGTGTCTATAAATTCCGTAGTTTTGACTTTTAGATTTTGAGCGGAGTGAAAGAATGTAATGATTTTACAACGAAATGTGTTTTTTTTTCTGTCTGTCATCAACATTTTGGGTAGTAAAAATGCTCCGATTTTCGAGATCATCATCTTTTCTGATAGAAATTGAAGTAGTTCTAGAAAGCGTCAAGAAAAACAATAAAAAGTGGTAATCTTTACGCATAAATAATTTTAGAAACACAATTTTTTTTTTGTTTTAGTGTAACTCAAAAACTTATAACCATAGACCTTTCAAATTTTTACTAAATATTTATATTTTCAATGAACGGTAACATTTTTTTTTTGAGCTAGATAATATTATAGCCTTGAGAAATTTTTCGAATATTGTAAATTGTTTTCAAATTATAGTAAAAAATGCAAAATTTAATGCAAGTGGTTCCCTGTAAGTTTCATTAATGTAACTTCAAAAATATTAAAGATAAATAGACACGATTAATTTGTATATGCGTTTAAAGTTAAAATGTCGATAAAATTCACCAAAATGTCGAAAATGTTCAAACTATTTTTCATTTGGAAATTCATAATAGTTGTTCCTTTCATAACTAACATCAAAAATGTTGATAGAAGATTCATCACACATTTTCCTACCTTAAGCAAAAAAAAAGTTTAATGGAATGTAACATTAATTTTTTATGAGCATTTGCATTTAACATTTTTACGATAAATTATCATTTTCATCGATAAATTAAAGAATTTTAACACAAAAATGTTTGATATATTGTCGTAATTCAAAAATGAAGAACCCTATACACTTTAAATTTTCACCAAATGTTAAAATGACCATTCTCTATACATGTTAAAATTTACAAACAATATTGACTCTTTTTAAGCTATTTACAACGTACATTTTAATTTCATATTCGGAAGCAGAATAACTAATCTGAAAATGTATATGAGCAATATGAGTTGCACAGAGGTACCTATAAAAAAATACTGGTCCACTACTCGTCTACTCCGCTCATCAAAACTTTAAAAAAGTACTTATAACTAATTAAACTAAATATTAAACTTACCAGCTAGGTATTAGTTCAAAATAAGATTTTAGATTCAGCTTCAGGTTATGAAATTAAAAATGCATGTTGTTATTTAAAAAAGTAAAAATTAAAAAAACTATTACTATAAGAACATGATTTGTTTTTCAAAATGTCGTATTTCAATTACGTAAATGTATGTTACAAATAATATTTTCAAAACAGTTAAAAATTTAAATGGATCACCTTGTGTATCCGTGATCTACATCCTACAAGCTAGGGGTCTTGAACCTTTTTAGCCATCGCCGCCCTATTATTTTTAAAAAATCTCTCGGGCCGTAAATCGTAATCGCAGTAAAAACATGGCATATTAATTTTTTAAATATGTATTCCAATATATATATATATATATACATGCAACGTTTTAATATGTTTAAAACGAGTTTAAGGGCCTTAAATATAAATACTGCAAGACAGGCCACTGGTTGAAGATCGCTGTCTACATACAGTACGTACGAATGTGCGAAGCTTAAAAGGAACCATCTGTACCACTCTGTATTTACATCTTACATTTTATACTGCACCTATAATATTACACACCATAATAAACACCTTTGTGCTGTACATATAAGTAGGTACCTAAGCACACATAAAAAAACGTGTGACTGAAAAGGAATAGGAGCATTTCTTTTTTATATATATTATACAATATAAACCTGCAGGAACGGCGACATTGGAAGTGGCGTGGCTATAAAACCTCTATTACCACGGAGTTCAGAAAAATTTAGTAGAAAATTATGCAAAAAAATAATGGTCGGTAACATCTCAATCTATCAGACTTACTTTATTCATTATATATTATACCTAACTATTAGTATTTTCGCTGTCGATCGAAACATATATTTAAATGTTTTCAGATCTTATCGGACTTTCGGCACCATAATGCATTATATGCGTACCCATAATATATTTTGTTTATTTCACTACCACGACTAAGAGTATAAAACGTCGGTGTCGTTTTTACGACTCCGTATACGACTGTTAATCGAGGAAAACGTGATAAAATGTCGTAGTTCATAAATGCCCCGCGACTACTTAGTAGGTATCATATTATTTTTCAATAAATAATATGTATAGCTGGTTGGTACCATATAAATAATGTATCAATACACTTTCTTTGTACCTATATAGTAAAAAATCTAATAATACCCAATAAAATAAACTGTATAAATCCATTGTCTATGGGTAGGTATACATTATGATTTTCCATCATTTAATATTTATTTTATTAACTGAATTTACAATTGATGCATAAAATAATTTGATGTTCATAAGTACCAAATTATATTCATATTATGAACCGATATATAATAATACATATTATTGATAATTAAATGATAAGTATATTATAATAGTTTTCTAACAATAATTATTTATTTTTAAACTATAAGTTATCTGTTAGGTAGGTTATAGTTACAAATATTTTTTATGGTTTTCATTTATATTAGGTAAGTTATTTATAATTATTAAAATAACAGGTGTATGGTGAACAATTATTTTATTAATTTATTTGGGAAAAATATAATTTGCTATTAACGTCAAATTTAAGCTAAATCATCAGGTAAAATACGATATAATAATATATAATATAATATCGTATATTTTCGGCACGTGGGTTTGAACCGATTAGTTTAATTATTGTAGAATTATCTAAACTAACACTATATAACATCAAAGAATTGAATAAGTACTTCATCGGTCTTCAGTATTTACTAATATTCCCGACAGAACATCTATTGTTTATGGTTACCCTTTAGTCGGAATACACATTTCAAATCTTCAACCATTATTTTTAACTTTAATAACACCGATGTGCATTCAGGCAGTATTCAGCCATTTACTTCTAATAATAATAAGGCCAAAGGTAATAAATCGTTGAGGGTATAAACCATCGTTTGTTATATTATACGAAAAATTTGTTTTTACTAAAGACGTGGATTTGTTTGATATACTTTATATGATAAATAACCTGACCAATAGTCTGCATTTATTATGGAAAATATTACCGACAACACAAACAGTAATTTATTTTAGCCATAACCAAATCGCAGAGCAGAATCTATGCTTTTAAAAGAATTTTTTTCTCAGAAAGGGATAATAAACTATTGTAAAAATAATCGAGTACATTACATTGCCGTCCCTTTTTGAATATCATTAGAGGGAACAACAATGCAATATTAAAAATGTTAATGATTCGAAACTCCGACCTGAAAAGAGCTAATAGGAGCAAAAGTTATGACAATTGGTTGTGACGCAATTGTCCGTGAACAGTTGAATACAAAAACCCTTATAAGAAATACATATTATATTTTGATAAAACTAAAATCAATGCACGAGTGTTTGCATTAATTATTATAAAACGGTGGTTTGTTTTTTTTTTCTACTTTAAACTATCGCAGGCAGTAATTTTGTTGGCTATTCATATATATATTTATGTAAAATGTATACTATGTTATGGACTCCGCCAGCTACTGGCTACTGTTCGGCCGTGTACAAAATACTTTTAAAATTATATTTAAAAACAAATACGAATACATTTATTCAGAAAGATTTAAAATACATTACAACGTTAAATTGCTTGATATACCTATAGACAGGCTAGTATTATTATGCTTTGAAAAACCTAATGCATATAATAATATTATTTCAAGTAGCTATTAACGTATGGCGTGGAGGTTGCATTCAGTCACGAAATGTGTTTTGAGTGCAAGCACCGGCTGGTGTCACTAGTTCCCGGATGGTTGACCACCCGGGTTTTTAGTTACAAATCCTTGCCAGACATACACACATGTGTTCCAAACCAACCGTACCCCACTACAAACAGCTATAATGGCCATAGTTGACGGGTTCAAGACCAATAAAAAAAATAAATTTCAAAAATTAAATTATTTATAATTTCAAATGCTTACATTATGATATAGAAACGTTATGCAATTAATTTAGAATAGAATTAGTATAATTTATTTAAAAAAAATATATATACCTAGGTAATTTAGAATAATGATTTAGGTAAATCGTATATTATGTATTTATGTCTATGTACAACAAACCAACTATCAATACTTTTTAAGTTTACAATAATATTGTAAATTAAAAATATATTTATATTATATTTAGAGCCGATACTCAACCCCCCCCCCTCACGACCATAAATACGCCACAGATCGTAGTTAATTACTAAAATGTATAATACTCTTACCACCGTATTATAGATACGTGCCCGAGCATAATTAAATTAAAACATTTTGTTCCTCTCCGCGCATTTGTATGTTTGCAAAAGATTCTTTTGATCACGGTTTTAGAGACGTACGAGTGCAGAACGGAGGATAATCAATGCTGTTCATAGTTCAACTCTTCCCTGCTGTCAATATATTTTAACAACTCCTGCAGTTAGTGGAACCCAAAAGAATTTAATATTAGAAGCACTAAAAAAACTTCCGAACTCAAAACCTACGTTTCAGCGTCACGATCTGACGGTCTTTAGAATTTAAAAATAAATGAATTGGTTTTACAAACACATTTCCCAATAGTAATTTGAAATGAAATTACCAACTATAACGCCGAAGTTTGAATTGACAAGTACCGATACAAACCAAAGCTGTGATTTGAAATAAACCTTAGAGGCATTATTTTTGGTCACGGCATTATATTTAGCAGTTTAAAAACTTTGTGCAATTTAAGTTTTACTTGCTAAAACTAAAATCAAATTTACACACTCAGTCACGAAAAACTAAAAAAAACCAATTTCAACCTTATTATAGTTATTATTAGTATTAAGTACTTTAAAAAATTTAATGAGTTCAGAGCAAGGCATTTTAACCAAATGATGATATTTCTTGGGATAAGAATTTTTATAAAAAAAATCATTAGTAATAATTATTATTATTACTATCCGAGATATCCAAAACTTTTTTTTTACCATTATCAGAATGTGAATACCTTTAAACAAATAGAAACTTTAGTTCACAAAAATATAAAATATATGGTATAACATGGAAAGTGTTCAAATATTTTAACGTTTGTGGTGTAAGAATTAATGCCTCCCGAGATGTGTTACTTGTTTATATAGGTATATATAAAATATATATATAATATTCTTATAAGTTATAAATCACATTTTAAAAAGCTTGAATTGTGAATATATTAGTTGCATGTAATATTTAAAATGTATGTTCTAGTCACATATGACGAAATAACTAACGTAAAAGAGTCTTAATTATAAAAGATCGAAACTGTAGGATTCGCCGAAGAGAAATAATGGAGGTATCAACAATTTAGTTTTCCACGTAGAAGAAATAAAAAAATGATTTTGAAAACCAATACATTGTAAATGATTCGTCTCATATGTAAACCGTATTATTTAAATAGTTTGAATAAATAGTTTTATATAAATTTGTGTTTAGTTAATGTTAATAAAAAAAATACTCAACTTATCCAATATTTAAAGACGATAATAAAAGTGTACACTGAAATTATTGTGCGAATTCGCTATTCAATTGTTAACAATATTTACTGTTCACTATTATTTTTTATGGCTTAAGTTACTTCAATATGTAATCGATGAGCAGAACAAATAAATGATGATATTGTTAAAACTAAATTATTGAAATATTATAAAAGTAAATATTTAGATTAAAATAAAAGGTGAATCATTAAAATATAATAGTGATATAATGATTAATGACTATTACTATTAAAAATCCGTGTTAACTTTTTGAGGGTTGAAAAAAAAAATAAAAGATCTTTTAGTACTGAAAAAGTATTCCCTGGTGAATTTATTAAAATCAAAACTTTCGCAGGTATAATAATTTAAGTTCAAAAATTTAACTAACTTAATTTAGAATGAATAATTTACTTTTTTAAGTTTTAAATATACTTGGTAGTTACTAAAATAATTAAATTAAAATATATATATATATATATGTATAGGTACCTAACCGAAAACACATTTTATAATGATGCGATAAGTTAAGAAATTTATATTATTTGAATGTTTAAAACTAATACACAAAGTTGTATGGTATTTTTTAAATCACGAATACACTTAAAAGTTTTATAAGTCTAAATTAGAATCCATAAAAATACTATAGTAGCTTCAAGAGCTTGACACCGATCGTACTACAATCGATAAGATACGGACATAATATGGTCCAACGATTATAAATCTAATAGTACATCATATATGATTTTCTAATTATTTAGTAATACTATTTAATACTCCGCGAGTACCTACTTTTCATATGCTTTTGTATACCATTGACATTTTTAAAAACTTATCGATTCCCATTTTCGTGGCCGGTTGAGCTCGTATATTATGCCGATCGAATACCTACATCTGTTTTATGGTTTCGTGTTATATATTAATGTGCATATTATTATAACCTACCTACGATACAAACAGATCGATAACTATTTGCTGTAACGAGAATATTATCAAATTCAAATTGTCGAATAATAATAATATTTTATGACATTTTCTAGATACTACCGTACGAATGGCCACTGGCTGTGGTCTGCGCCTTAATGATATTCTGCGGTCTGATACTAGCACGATACGGCGTGTATTGGCAGAGACGGTACAAAGAGGCTAAGTGGTTAGGAGACACTGGCTGGGAGTCGGGTTGCAAAAAGGGTGTGCTGGTCATTGCCATTCAAATGCTTCTACTTATGTTAGGGTGAGTACGTCACCCGTGAAGGGATAATTTTTGTTTGTCATAGTTAATGTTTGTTTGTGACAGTTAACGTTTGTTTGTATCAATTAATGTTTATTTGTCAATAAGTGTAGGTGATATTATTATTACTATTATAGAGCAAAGTGAGCTATTGTTTAGTATTATATGTTTATTTTTTAGTATTGTATTTTCCAGTCACATCGTTAAAACGATAGAACCCGAAATGATGATCCCTCTACAGATTTTAAAACTGTACACAGATGGTAGGTACTCTAGAAAGGCCACTCATGAACGTTCACAATAGTTTCCAAGTAATTTGAAAAATAAACCACAAACTGTATTCGTAATAATTGGTCAGTGCCGGCCCGATGGTTTTCGGGGCCCGGTGCAGAATTTCGCGGGGCCCCATATGGCCAATGGCTGAATATGTTAATTTATTAATTATTATACAATATACACATTTATTTTATTTTTTAGGGACTTTTTTAAATTGCCTGTGAAAATAATATTACCTATCAGTATTGTTTTTAAAATTTAGATAGAATGACTTTAATGATTCTACATCTACATATTTTTTTGTCATATAAAAATGTAAAATAATCCAAAACGTATACCTTTTCCATTAATTTAATGGAAATAGTACATTTTGGAAAATTTAATGGAAATAGTTCATTTTGGAAAACCTAATGAAATATTAAAATATACTCCAAAATGTGCTTTTTCCAAAATAAAAATATTATTAATTTCTTATTTATTGTTTCAATATGAACAAATCGTTTATAAATAAAAAAGTAATTTTGAAGACAAGGAAGATTTTTTAAATTATTTAATAATATATTATTTCTATTAAAAACGACTCAAATGTGTTTAATAATCTAGGATTATATTTTTAATTTAATTTCAAACTTAATGATTGTGAATATTATAAATTATAAATTATATTTTAGTACGTTTTGGATTAACTATTTTATTTCGCTATACCTACAATACGGGCAGTAGTACGTTTTGACATAACATAAAAAAAAAGTACGTTTTGGAATAATTTACGAAAATAGTTCGTTTTGGTATAGTTAATGATTGGTGCCTATTATTTTAAGTTTTAACATTGGCAATAGTATGTTTTGTCGTAAAACTGGAAAAAGTACGTATTGATTATCTAAATATAATTTTTATGCACGGAAAAGGTTCGTTTTGGATTAAGCAGTCATTTTTAACAGCTGATTTGACCTGGAAATAGTACGTTTTGGTCTATTCTGACAACACCAATCGATTTGTCAGCGTTTTTTTTACTAGAATCGGTGTCTAACTCGTTTTTGCCAATTTTGGCAATAGTACGTTTTGGAGTCCACCCCTCAATCAAAGTAAGATATTAAAATATAGACATAGTACACATACTTATTCTAATTGGTATTTGTCGATAACAAACAGTTTCCTAAGAAAACAACAATGGTCGCGATATCCGTATTACTGCTACGGGGACAATATTATTATGTTTATTTATAGATAAAGTGATATTCGTAACAAGCCCGCACAAGCTCACCATGCGCGGGGCCCCGCACAAGCGCGGGGCCCGGTGCGGTCGCACCGCTTGCCCCCCCCTAGGGCCGGCACTGTAATTGGTATTGAGTTTTTCTTTTTCCATAAAAACTATCTAGTTTTAAATTGTTTAATAAAACCAATATTGATATAATGTAATATATGAGAGACTTTAATAATATTACATTTATTACTAACGACAAATATACTTTATAATGTCATTCGATAAAAAAATAAATAAACCGCTGTTTATTTCACTATAAAATAATAGGTTCCCTTAACACTTACCACCGTCCACCAACAGTTATTAATCAAAGTGGTAGAGTCTGTATAATATATTATTTAAATAGCTGGACTATGAGAGTAAAACAAATTTCAGTATTTACTGGAATTTGTGAATTAATGGAAACGTTTACAATATAAGTACCTACGTTTAACTGCTGTTTAAGTTTGAATTGGGCAGACTTTTGAACATCACATTTATTGTAAATATTTTTCAGCGAAAACCGAATACGAGAACTCAACCTTCGGAGAGAAAAAGATTTAAATTCAACCCATTGAAATTTCTATGGTATAGGTAGTCTATGAGATGTGGAGACCGAAGGACGTACGAACCCATGACACTGGCTACTATCTGTTTGTCCGTAATAAATCGTTCCCTCTAACACAAGTTGCGCACCCTTTCATTAATTTTGTAAACGGTGTATTAGTGTAGCCAGTGTTGGTTGACGACACTCGACGTACGCGTTTCATCACAAAGAAAGGAACAAATTATGTCTTGTTATGTAAATCATTTCTTTCGTTTTCCTAAAAAATAAATTGGTTGTTAAATCTATTACTCGCTGTACACATAGGTACTATAAATAATCACTTACTCACGTATAAATCTAATAGTGTTTCAAAATAATTAATCAAGTTTTCGTAAAATATTAATGAATATAATCTTAAATATTGTAGTGACCTATAGACTATAACACCTACTTCCATATACAGTAGCAACTCTGTTTCCAGCTATAGTAAACGATTCACCTCCACGGTGGGTATCACTACTACGCACTTCTATAGTTCTATACCATAATTTAGATGTAAAATAATTAATTATTTAAAGCCCCCGTGAGCCCCGATGCTGTACATAATTTACGGTGGGTATGGTTGTGTAGTGACTAAAGTTGGTATACTTGATCACTTGGAAAAACCCTAGACTTTTAATACTATAATAGTATAAATGTATAATTGTACTACTGTGTCGTTGGGTAGCACAAAAAATGATTTTCACTTTCTGTAATCACCGTCTCGAAAGAAAATAATATTCCATTGAATAACCCGGCTCGTGTATGTTTAAATATAGACGCATTATACAGACGATTTCACCGTGGAATGCAGAGCTGTGTTTGTGCGTATAATATCTTAGACATTTCTCATAAGTCTCCTGAAAATTATAGAAAATACCGTTGTTTAGCATTTAGGAAAATATGAACATAGCCATCCGTCTCATAGCTATCACTCCTAAATCACCAAAAAACCCCTTGCAGAGATATTTTGTATAGTATGTTAGCTGCAAGCGAATACTATTCCTGAGAATCCTCCCCGTCGTCTCAAAAGGAAATCATGCCAAGATTCGCCCTTAGTAAAATTGCATAGATGAAAGTGTCACTAATGTGTAACTCATTTATTCAAGTTTTCGTGAAAGAATTTAAAAAGTAACATAAAATAATGTATAATATTGTATGGTTAATTTGAAAACGATTCTACCAGTAAAAATATCAAAACATTATATTTTACATTGGTTTTATAATTGTATACGTATACACTATACGGTATACGGTTCTATCCATAGATATAATATTATATGATTTACTTCAATGGTCAATTAAAACATTATTATAGATAGGGTACAAAAGTCAGACACTACAGTAAAATAATTTGATTAAATTCCTTTTTAAAAGTTAAAATTGACACTAATTGGCAACGTTGAACGAATAATTCTTGTATTTTAATTATGTGTGAATAGACTTTAGAATAAACAATCAAACAATAAATCACAAAAAGTTACTATACATACACATATACCTATCCCTAATAAAATTCTTTAAATCGTACAACTTACGAACTTAATATTAAAGATTAAAAAAATTAAAAAATGTAATTTTGATTTCTTATTTGGATCACAATGATTCCAATTCCGATTCCAATCGTATTGTTTTATTTTAGTATTTATAATGGTACATTTATTTTGAGTTAGCTAAATAAAATATATTGTTTTGCTTTGCTTTATTATATTTGAGTGGATTGAAGAAACTTTTTGTTATATTTTATAATGTATGTTTTTTTTACTTCCAATAAACACCTTTTAGTGAAGTACTAGTGCTTCAAAATTGTATTGTTACCTAAACAAAAAATCACTCTGAAATCATATATTGATTTAAGACTTCACTTTGGTGTTATTTCTAGTTTAGAAAACTTTTATGAAAAATAACTTAATATCGTTAACATTTAACATGAGATACAAATAATTTAAATCCATTTTTATGTACACGGATTAACTATTTATTAATACTGGAATCACTATTTATACACATTTATACTCCTATACGCGGCTACCTTTATACTGCCCAACACAAAACGAAATCCTTTAATTTTTAAGCATTCTTAATGTGTTAGAACAACACACAATATCGGTAGTAAATGTGATAAGTTTCATAACATTTCTTAGTAACTTTTTAAATTCGACTTTATACTTATAAATTATAATTTTCATATTTACAACAAAATATTACTTTATACAAAACAACGTAGGTACCTATACTTATCATCAATATTTAAATTGTATAGTATATATAATATATCAAAAAATAAATTTATATTATATTACTTATGAATTTTAAGTCAAAAATTTATTTCTGACTATGGAGTATGGGTGCCGGGGGGGGGGACGTCTTATGAAATATTCTGTACTAGCGAATAGCGAGTGTTGGAAATGTCGTGTATTACTGGAAACAGGAATTCCACCTTTTAAATACTTGGCGTTATAAGACTGTACATTAAACGGGAAACCGGATTTATGGTGTAAATATTTCGTGCCCGGAAATAAAGATACGACCGTTATAAAGTTCACGAAATGAGTTAAACTGCTCTGGGGGCTTTGAATGGATACACTCGGCCTTTATATTCTGTAATTGGACAGTGCAGTTTAATTTTATTTACGTCCCTTGGTGCATTCAAAATTTTCAATAATACCGTAATTATTTATAATAAATTAAAATTACTTACATATTCAGAGCCGGTGCTTGCGGACTGCTGGTAACGAACGAGACCATGGGATCTGCCGTGTCAAGCGTTGGAGACCTATTAGAATTTGGTGTCGGTGATTTGGTGGACATGTTCTCCATCACTCAAAAACAAATCAGGACCATAACAGTCGGATCGATGGATTCGACGACCGATGTGATTTTCTCAAAATTAGACGGTATAATAATAATATCTAATAAGTAATAGTATTATTATTATATAATGATTCATACAATTTCAGTTCAATAAAAGTATACAATATTACAACTACCTAATTTTACAAGTGTAATAATACATTAAACTATTAAAGTACTGAAAAATATTCAACAACTTATAGTAGATATTCTTGATATCTGGTAAGAATGTCAACTAAATAAACTTCATTGAAGAGTATGTAGTATTAAAAATGAATCGCATATAATAGGGTTATTGAAGTCATAAACACACAACAGCCAAGCATAGAAAATAAAAAAGCAAACCTTAAAATATGTTATATAATTATTATTTGAAATATTCGCATAAATAATGAGAGACCGTTTATACATTTTATGATGTATTTGGCATCTAATCAGTTATAAAAGTTATATTAATTATAGTTAATAAACTTCATCGTTTTTACTGAGATGATTAATTTAGTTTGAAACTACTTAAAAACAAAATTTAAAACAATATTATGATTCTTTTACAGTAATAATTATAAATTATGTAAAGGTCTTTGCGAGCCATTGATATTTTCGTCATTTTTATAAAGTTAAGATACCTATACTTTCAAGACTTCATATTCAATTTTGAATTAGTTGACAAATTTGCTTTACAACAGACTTAACAATTTTTTACTTTATCCAATTTTCTATCAAAAATATTTTATTTTAAGTTGGGTAACAATAATAAGTAATCAATACAGAAATTATAAACGTCCTCCGATCGTTTCAAAGTAAACTTGTCTTATAAAAATTGCTACTTATTGCTCATATTTTATATTTATAAATTGGTATAGTTCCGTCGTCCAAATTACGTAATATGCCACTGCATGCAGCAACGGATATAAAGTTATAGCGTCCATTTTATGATATACACAGTCCATTATTATAATAAATCATTGGACATAGAAATATTATTGGTTAGATTACAGTATTACACACTAATATAATTATTTACACAAGAGCATATCGTGCCCGCTCAAACAAACATTTTAAGTAAAATATTAAATACAAATAAATTCGCTATTTTTCAAATATTGTATTGAATACAGACCTACAGTTATTGCTATTTCCATATGCTAATTATTAAATATAATAAGACGTACAGTATTGAATTTATAATTTAACAATTTTAACTTGAACTTCTTTGTTAATCCGAGCGATAATTTTTGTTCCTCTCGACGTTCGTTTACACTTCAGTCAATGTTAATTCAAATTCAAATATAGATTTAAAAATGGCTTATTTTATTGATGGACGAGAGTAGTCATTTTTAAGTACAGAGATAATCTGAATGAATGAACTTTGACGTCACTTCTAATTATTTCTATAGACAATTTTATAATATATATATGACTGTAGGGCATAAAATTAAATTACCCGTCCCAACTGTGTATCCTTTCCCCCTCTAATCTATCATCTTAAACAGATTCAATATTAAAAGTAAGTTTTTTCGCTCGATTTCAACATTTTACGACTTTTCAGTTTTATAACCCTTTGCGATAATAAAACGTGCTATGTTTAACAAGTAGCTTCCATTTTTTTTCCATTTTCTCTTTATGATCAATTACAAAACTGCAACTCTTAAATTCCTGGTTACTTAATTTGTTGATTTTATATAAGCTATTTATTGAAACTTCCTTGCATTACATTAATAGAAAACTATTATTTTTAATTTAAAAAAAAAAATGTATGGTTATCATTACAAATTTATTTTACCGAATAAATATAATAGTATTCAAGTGAAAATTCGAAAAATATAATTATAAATAAATAAATAAATTTAATGATTACAATTATGTTCTATGATAGTATGATACCATGATAGATATAAATTAAAATACGATTTGAAAAAAAAAAATTTTCAAAGGTATTAAAATGCACTTGTACTTCGTCGATGACTTAAACATTACATAATATATAATATATATAAAACGATTCACCAAGCATGCCACCCCTTTTTTTCTTCAACAATGCAATTATTTAATATTTGATTTTTCAAATTTTTAAATATACTTAAAGGCCATATATAACTCTTGAGATTTTTTTTATGCCTTAGGGAGTATTTTGCGGAGATACCTATAACTTATAAGCTTCTGTTTTTCAAATGAGAATATCCCTTTTCTACTGTAAATTATTTAGCGGATAATTTTTATAAAAATGTTAGGATGTCAAAATCAAAATTCTAAAGAGCAGATTTTAGTTATTTAACTTTGTGTATAATGGATTAGAAAGATATATAGGGGCTATTTTAGTGATTTAATAATGTTAGTAATTAATATTAATCTATTAACAATTATAATTTTTAAAAATTAGGTACCCACGTATAATAAATACTAAATCGGAAATCCAATATTAAATCTATTCTTTAAACATTTTAATAATTGAGAAACTAAGCATTAGAATTTGGTTTTAGATACATCAAAATTTTCAAAAATATAATCCTCCGAATAATTTATAGTAAAAAAGGGACTCTCATTTGAAAAATAGAAGTTTGAGTCACCACAGGGTATTCCTTAAGTAGCACAAAAAATCACAAGTATTTGGATATAATATACCTAGTCTTTAAGTAGGTATATTCAAAAATTCCAAAACTTAGAATTTTAATAAATAAATTATTAAAGGAAAAAATGGAATTGAGCTGCTTGGTGAATCATCCTATATATGCAGTATAATATGTATCATTCAATTAAGTAGGTCACGTGGAAATTTTCGACGCCTTTTTCTGAAAACTCATGTAGGTTGAAGTCATTTTAAAAATAGTATCAATACTGTAATATTTGCGAATATTTCTCATTAAATTCCAAGGGGAGTATTAAAAAAGAATTGAACCGTCATAAAATTGATTTGAGTATTTTTTTTAATTAAACCTTAAATGAAAAAAGTATATCAACAGATCATAAGATATAAAAAAATAGCAGGTTGTAACTTGTAGGTTCATAATATTAAAAATAATAAAACAAAATATTTTAGTTTGATGATGAATAGTTTTACATATTTTCCTCAAGTAGAAAGGTACCTATTTGTATAGGTATTCTCTTATATCATCTTCCATAAGAAAATTGACATAAATACGTACGTACGTACGTAGCAACTATTAATAATATCTGTTATCACTTTTAAAATAATATATAATCATGAAATCATATATTGAATATTTTAATTTAATTTTATAACATTTCTCCTACACTTTACAATTAATTCATCAAGATATAATTAAGTTTAATTTTCAATTTGTAGGTAACCTACACAAATATTTTATATTGCATGTTCAAATTAATTATTCATTTCCTGAACATTTTTTATTAAATAAATCAAATAAGGAACAACTATTTTATAAATTATTTAAAGCTTAGAAAAGATGAAAAAGTTAAAACGTCTTAATAATTACACGGCTTTACTCTGTTTATTTGATAAATCAATAAATATGGCTATAATCGTAGTGAAATAAACATTATGTCTACAGAGTATTACATTCATCAATAATATTGTAGGTCTAAAGTGTATAAAAAAAAACTTCTTATACTAACCTAATCCAACATAACTGTTATGAGTACTTACTTCACAAAAACTATTATTATTATTTTTAAAATTACATTAAAGTTAAAAAAAACCGTGTTTTTTTCTTATCAAATATTGTTAAAACTGGTGTCACGAGTGTAAAATATTATTTTAAGATTTCACTGTTCATATTTTAAATTACTTAATAATTTATATTATGTTAAAATTCTGATTGTAATTTAAAATAAAAATGGTAAATGGTAACAAGTCCTATAACAGTCCCTGAGTTCGGTTAATCTGAGCAATATTTTTTATAATGTTTAAAATGTTCTTTATACATTTTGAGTAAGTAAATAAAAAAATAAAATGTCGTATGTTATAAAAATATGTAAAAAAAACCCTTCGTTTATATAATAAAACAATACGTAGTCCATAAACAAAATACAAAGCGTAAAAGATTAACGATTGGCGTATACTTAATGAGGCGAGCACTCAAAAACATGAAATACGTCTACTGTTTATATTTATATGTTAATTTAATTTGTTTATAATCTGCGTTCTCCTGTAGTTATTTAGTGGTCTACAAATCGTTCTTTTGATTTAATTGTGTAGATTCTCTACAACAAGGATTCGTACTTAACCAACCAACATAAGTAGACCATGAAGAACTAAGAATGTAATTATTTACGAGCTTTATATTCTTTGAAAAAATCTTGATAAGGCAAAATAGGCTTTCTAAACAGCTTTGTAATAATACAGTTACATGAACCGATACATAATGTTATGTCCAACATATCTAAATATAATACATGGAAAAAAAAATCAATAACAGATAATTTTTTTTAATTTTTTTAAATTTATTTATTTCGTTTTTAGACATAGCTGAACAATTGGGAGGACCAATCGAAAATGATATATATGGCCCTAGTCATAGATTTGGTTCCAGGAACAATGTTTCTAGAGTAGTTCAAGGTGATGATTGACCCTTATAAATTATAATTCATAAAATATGACAATCTGTAGGAATGATGTTTGAATATTTGTATTTTAGACTTCCAGAAGATATTTCCAAAAGCAAGGGATGTAATTTCCCAAGCCGAATTAGTCAGAGAAGACATTATTAGGTACAACAAACAAATTATCGAACTGAACGTTGAACTTCAAATGGTACCCGAACGATGCCCTCTTGAAGTTTCCGCCATGTGTGATATGATATCCGGTAACAAATTGCACCCAGAGAATTATACTTACTTGGTGTGTAAATAATACGTGGTGGAAGTTATTCCATACTACATTACTACCATTCTTACTGATAAATAATAATTACTAATTGTTCACAGGATGATTTGATAAATGTAGTTAGAGGAGTTTTAGAAGTAGAAAACGACGGGCTATCGAGTCTACCATTAACGTCGGCCGAAAGTGCCAACATTCCAAAGGCTATATACGAACAGACCGAAAAAGAGAGATGGCGTAAGTAAAATTACTGTATACCACGATTTAAGATGGTACTATCTTAAATCGTGCTGTATACTCACAGGTTTATAACGTCTTTTCAACCACTGTGACCACTTATATAACTATTGGGTATTTTCACAGTACTGGATATGCATTGATTTTAACTGGATAGGTACGTACCTATACACAGTGACGGCGCTAGGGGGGGGGGCACTCCATGCAAATTCCCGGGGTCCCGTGCCCCCACTTCTCCTTATTTGTTTTTCATAATTTTATGACACGCAGAGAAAAATAAATCATTGAATTTATGGCACGCAACTTTAGAATATTTTTTTGTAAATAATTAATGCAGCCTACCTATACCGATTACCGAATTGAAAATACTAAGATAAATAGTAAATACAACACTTTGGTCAATAATAACAACAGATAACGGCAATATTGCAATAACTCATTATCCATTAGGTGATCACGTTTACAACTTTAAAAATAACTCGAAAACCGAAAAACCTTAAGCTGTCGTTTACTAGTGTTATCGTTATTAGTTACTAATTATTTATGTTGTAATATACTTATATAACTAATTGTCATTTATCTGTCTAGCCGACAGCCATGTGGCTTGTAATGTGTACATTGTACGTGTAAAAGACACAAGTCGACTAGTGTGTAAAGTGTACAGTGTACACAATACATTTACCTAGCAAATTGTTTTCGTTTCGTTTATGGCTTACGTACCTAATATGAACTAATTGATTAAATTACATTTTTAATACCTTTTACGTTATTTTATACATTTTAATCGTATAATATCATATATATTAATTATGTCCAAACGTGTATATCCAAGTGGATCTTTAAAAAGAAAATTAAAAAAACAAAGCGATGACAAAATAAAAATGCTCCCGCAAATAATTAATATTTTGAATAATACAGTAACCACAGAAAATTTGATCAACAAGTCGTTACAAATGTACAATCTTCATATGTAAAAGCAACTGATACTGTAAGTACCTTTTAAGTACTATTTTTTTTTTTTAAATAAAATAATTTTAAAAAAAAAAGAAAGTTAATTCATTTAGAATCTAATAACCTTTTTTCAAAATGTAATTTTTGCTAATACCCTGACATGAGTATATTTCATAAATTATTTTAATATACATTTTTAAGAAACAAATAAATGTAGACGATGGAGCAAAAGATGTTGAACTACAGAATCCGAGCTGATGATAAAAATCAAATCATATCCGCCAGAGAGGATAACATTAATAAACAAACTGCCATGATTTGCTCAGTATCAGGTAAACAAAATGATTGGAGTGATGTTTCTAACTGGCCAGAGGTATTAACTTATTTTTCTAAGTATTTTAATTCATAAAAATCTAAATTAGAACGAGTAGTTTATGAGTTATAACTTTATAAGTATTTAAAGTTTAGACAAGCGGAGTAGTGGACAAACATTTTGCGGGGTAACCCCGTTATTATTCACTATCGATATAGTTATGCTATGACATATTAATTTTTGTTTGAAAATTTTTAAGGTACAAATAAATGTAGACAATCTGTAGAAGCTAAATATTATACAGTTATTATGGACTGCACACCTGATATTAGCCACAACGAACAATTGTCACTCATGATTCGTGTAGTAAATATGTATGATGGTCAAGCAAAATGTCCAGATATTGAAGAGTACTTTTTAGATTTTATTCCAGTTTCCTCAATAACCGGATTAAGTCTGGCTAATATTCTTTTGGATAATCTGAAAAAGTATGGTATTAATATTAAGGACTGTAGAGGCCAAGCCTACTATAACGGCTCCAATATGGTTGGGAAATATCAAGGAGTACAAACTAGGATTAATAATCTAAATCCTAGAGCATTTTTCACACCTTGTGCTTCACATAACTTAAATTTGGTTCTTAGAGATTCGGTGAAAAATTCAGTTCAGGCTTCAAGATTTTTTGGAACAATTCAGCGTGTCTATACAATATTTGCAGCGTCCACAAGTCGATGGGATATTCTTCAAAAGCATTATGAACTTTTGATTGTGAAAAATTGGTCAGAAACTAGGCGGAAGAGTCGAGTAAATAGTGTAAAAGCCCTTCGTTATCAGCTACCAAATATCATAGAAGCCTTGGAAGAAGTATCAAGAGAGGTAAGTGACACAATGATAAGAAGTGAAGCTCAGTCATTGGCAAATTAAATCAGTACATTTGAATTTATTCTAAGTTTAATTATATGGTACAGTATTTTAGTAGAAGTGAATGTTGTTAGCAAAAGTTTGCAAGGTAAAAATATTGATATAGACATCTCAACTAATATGTTGCAAAGTTTTTTTTTTAAATCATTTAGACAAACAGGATTTGAAAATTCTTTTATAGCTCCAAAAGAAATTTGAGAAGAAAATGGTATTGATACAAATTATAAAACACGTCGTTTAAAAAAAAAAAAAAAAAGCTCAGTTATGAAGTCGACGATGATATAGTAAATGATGTGGAGGCTATTTTTCGACAAGAATATTTATTTTATATTGTTAATCAAGGTATAAGTTCAATGGAAACACGCTTTAAACAACTTGAATCTTATAAAGATGACTTTGGTTCTTATTTCGAATTGGAAAATTGACCAACATGGCCAATACAGATCTATTAAAACATTGCATGGACCTTCAAAATCGTTTAACTGACGGAGAATCAAAAGATATTGATTTATATATGCAGAATTAATAATTTTTAGATTGCTTGTTACTGAAAACCAAACTCCTCTCGAAGTACTTTCAATTGTTAAAAATTCCAATGGTTCATTTCCAAATATTAATGTTACGCTTCGGATACTTCTTATCATTCCAGTCACATCAGATAGAGCAGAAAGAAGTTTTTCTAAGCTAAAAATTATAAAAAATTATCTCCGCAATAGGTTCAGCCAAGAAAAGCTTTGTGGATTATCTATGATACCTACTGAAAAGGCAATATCGGATACAATCAATTATGATAAAATTATAGATGACTTTGCTGCAGCAAAATCAAGGAAAAAATGATTTTAATTATACTAACCTATATTTATATATGTACACATTTGACATTTTATATATTTTATTAAAAGCAAAATACGAATACCCTTTAATTATTTATTTTATTATAATTAAATTTACTCACTACTTACATTGACACATGAATATATAAATATATTTTTTTATATAGCTAACTTTTTTTGTTTTGTATGATTTATTATGCAAAAGCTTCATATATATGTTTTAATTTTGATGATATATTGATATCTAATAAATTGTATCTATTCTCACAATTAGGAATAATAAAATATATCACTACTGGTAATTGGTATCTGAAAACTGAAAAGTGTCTAAAGATTGCCAGCTTTTATATGAAACTAAATATCAAGTCTAAGAAGGTACAATCTAGTTCCATAATCATCAAAGGCCCTACCAAAAATGTTGCCCAGGGCCCCAAAATATGTAGTGCCGTCACTGTCTTTATATAGTTCTTAATAAAATTTGGTTAAATTTTTTGGTTAAAGGTATAAAACAAGCTTTGATGGATCGCAGACGTCAATTAGAATTTTCAATATATCCTTATGAAAGTCATACGCGTAAACTCGTTTCAAAACTAATGGACATGAAAGAGACAGCTAACAATTACATTATGCGCCTAAAACAAATAGAGGCGTATAGGTGGTCAGCTAGTATTGGTAAGCTATTATATTTATGTCAAATATACCTATATATTATAATATGATATGATATGTGCTATACCTACATAATTGACACGAATTTTATGAGTACCGTATAGGAATAGCAATCGCTGCACTTTTAGTTTGGATTTTATTAGCATGCAGTATTGTGGTAAATTATTGTTCCCACACGACTTGGGCAAAATGCTACTTCTTTGGGTAAGATAACTTATAATTAGCCTTTAATCCTAACACATATAACCGTATTGGGTGCGTGTTTACTTTTGGCCAAAACGCGTTATGCATAAGTAATTAATGTTTGAACACGAAATAATAATTTTTTATTGTGTCGGTTAACACGTTATTATAAATTCGATGATATTGATAATGTTCTGTTTGAATAGTGCAGTATACTAATAAATATATATTAAACAGTACAATATACACAATACAAAAAGATAAACTCGAAAAATAATAAAATAAAACACAATGTAAATTACACATCGATTAAATGCCTTATACCACATTAGCTACCTATAAGACTTCCTTGAAAACGTATACAACTTTTATCAAAGTTTAAAACTATTGATTATATGACCAATAACTTATTCAAAGTCTTGCAGAAATGTATACGTATAATGATTAATGATGCACTGTACTAACGGTAAAGTGTTAACCACATTTCAATGATTACAATTTAAAATTATTTTCCCGAATGTATAATCCTTATAAAAATTGAATAATAGAAAAAAAAACCATTAAAATCAAAAGAAATGTCTATTTTTAGGTAACACTATAACTAGCTATATGAACCTAACCTATTAACTATTATGTAATGTGATTAAATATAGTATACAGTGTGGTACCTACATTTTTTTTTTACCAAATAAAATTTAGCTGCGTGAGTACAATGAGATTGACCAGTTTGGTACTTTGGACATCGGCATTAGTGGGTTTAATATTAAGCAGCAACGGTGAAGTAAATATTTGCAGACCATTATATGACGAACCTATGTACGAAACCGTTACAAAAATAATGGATTGCCCGGCCATAACAAATGAACGTGGATTTTTTTCCTGGTTCATCTTTGGAAATGAAACATCCACGGCTCCGTTCAACGAAGTCATCGAGTAATTGAATATACTTGAATTAATTATAATATAAATAACTGTTCGGCATATTTGTATACATATTCCGGGGCCCTTCTCCGTTATTCTAGATCGTGCAGAGAAAATCGTACGGCTCACGCAACATTTAATTTAAACAAAGTGTTTAACGTGGACGCAAGTTCAGATTACAACAAATGGCCAGGTCTTATGGATGCTCTAGATAGTCTCAAAACCAAAAGGGTCCGCGTAGAATTGGATTTAAACAGACCACCGTCCACGGCCGACGCATTGAGACCGATTGCCGAATCAACAAACTTGGACTTTGAAAAGTTTCGAAGTCTCGTAAGATTTATTTACGCACACAACTCTAATAATCCATCCTTTGTGCTTGAATATGAGTCGAAATTCTAAGACACACAGATAAAATATATCCTAAAAGTAGAAGAAAATGTATTTGTAATGTATATTTTAAAATAACAACAAGTTTTTTGCAGACTACCTACTCTTAATTAACAACAATAAGCTTCAATAATATCTGTTTTCAAGTTATTTCTTTTCATTTTACTTTAAGAGTTTGTTCCGATGTGTGCTCAATCATTTCACTATACTTTATTTATACATTTGATATTATGTCATATTAGTCCACGTATACCTACGATAGCCTTAATAAGTTAATGACATTTTACAGATTTTGGAGTCTTCGTTGGCTCTTGGACGCGTGACTTTGCTACGCGATCAACTCCGTGCACTTTCAACACAAACCGCCTCTTTCTCCACCATGTTTAAAATGACATTGAAGCGTGTAGTGACAAATATTACAGATTTAGTCGAAAATGTGATGAGCCCAATGAGTCAGAAGAAAGTGAGAAGTATTTCTAGTGTATTATGATCAACTCGTTTGGTCAATGATCCTGAAATCCGTAAACAAATCTGTTACAGAATATTTTACTATATCATTTAACATTGATGGAAGTCGAAATGCAACCGCTATCAGAATCTTTAAACCGGACTTGGGCAAACGCGTATACTAGAATCGAAAATTCCGATTTCGATCAAATACTGCGAAAGGTATATTATAATATCTACAGGGTAGTAGGGTACCCATATTGATTGAAAATGTTTAGTTATATGTAAATATTATAAAACGCAGTACCTATATAATATTTATTTTGTAAGGTTTTAATTTGAAATAAGTCTAGGCTTCAAATTGTTTCGTTCAAATAAATTAGTATAGGTACCTCACTGTACCTGTTGCGATTGAGATAAATATTGAATTGTGATAGACAATAATAACGATTCATCTATTAAAATGTATATATTATTATAATATCATACAGTATAAATGTGAATTTGACATAGTTTAGAAACTAAGATAAATTTAAATATATTATGTTTTATTATTTTAAAATGTACTGTCTTAGAATATGGCTCAATACACAAACAATTTGAAAGTGCTGTTGGACAAATATAAGGTTCACGTAACTGAAGCAGTAAAAACAGAAGCGGCATCGTGCAGACCCGTATGGAATGTGTATCGAATTGGAAGAGATTTAGTTTGCAGGCAAGCTTTGGACGCCTTGGTGAGTTTTTAACTACTTAAAAAACGAAAAGTTATTTGTTATTACATTATGATTTTCAGAATGGATTTTGGCTTATATGTTTTTTCATCGCAATGTCGGTTACCGTCGCAATACCAGTCGTGAAAAATTTGAAAATATTTCATAAGTCTCCGCTAACTTCTATGTCACTTTATACCATACCTCCACCACCAGCAATGGAACTTATGAGCACGAGTAGTTAACTTTAAAAATGCCAAACGTTCATCAAGTAAAAATATTAAATTATAGATACTATGCAAAATTTGAATAAATAATGTATTAGCTCAAACCTAACTATAAAAAAAATATTTCGAAACGATTATCTACTTAATTCATTCCTACGATTTGTAAACCGATAATAATTAATATATTGTAATATGTTTTGATTAGATTTTTTAATATTTTTAATGTTATAAACATATAAATTATAGGTATAAAATCTAATTTATTATAATATTATATAGATATACGATGTAATTGTAATCTATATTTTTAAATGCCATCTGTTTATATAAATTATGTTAAATTAAATTGTGTTTGCTAGCGTATTATGATATAAAGGAGTTTGATTGTTAAAGTTTATATTACAGCATGGCACACTCGGTGACGTGCAATTATTTTATCAAACTTTGTAAGTATATAATTATTTGAGAGATATAATTTAATAAGCTACCTATTACTATATTGTTTGTTATTCTTGCCACCACAACATTAAATATTTATTATTTACGGCACTGCCTTGTCGCTAAGCAATCTGTCGGCAGTCTTTAATAAAAAAATTCGAAATGATTGATATTTCTTTGTATCTCGATATCTCGGTAAGTATAATACAGTAACCCATGATCTAATTGTATAAAAAATCATAAAAATCTTAGTTCGAATTTTTAATTGTATTTTTATTTTTATTACGCAGTTGATGATAGTCAACTTATTGTCGTTATAGGTATTTTATAATATTATGTAGTGTCAAGCACAGTAGTTAATTTTAATGAGCTATCCACCTCAATATTTAATACTGGTATTCAATTTTTCTAACAAAAACATATCGTTAAGACCTATTAAATTCATGTGTGACAACTAACAATTACCTAGAAAATAAGGTTAAATGATCTTAAGAAAATTGTTATATCTTTAGTTCTAATTATTAACTATGCTACACTTAACTTACATACTATTATTTTAAAATGTTTTATGATACATAAACAATTGCATAGTACGTTGGACAATCGTTTATTGGTTGTAGTACATTATTGGTACGGTACATTTGGTTCGGGCGCGGTGCAGGGTTAAACACTTATAAGTACCTAGTTTGTAGTTATAACATACATGTATGTACCTGCCTTAAATATTTTATGAGAAAAATAATTATTATAACCAATATATATATATGTATAACTGTAAACATGTATGAAACTCGTGAACTGATAATGTTTCCTATACCGGGCTACTTAAATGTATTATTTAGGTACCTATATTTTAATTTGTATGAGAAGAGAACGAAGAATATATTTTAAAGGACATATCTATTTTTTTTTATGTAGGTACAGTATAATGGAAATTGGAAGGTGAAATGATATGAAATATTATAATACAAGAGTCGAGAGTACACGTGTCAAAAGAATAAAATAACTTATGATTTATATAAACGCGATGTAATATAAAGTTGAAGTTGGGACTGTATTAAGACTGTTGTGTTAAAATGAGAAGGAAACTATTTTCTTGATATTTTTATTTATTATAATGTGATACTGTGATAGTAATATATTTCTTTGTGTAGGTCAAAAACTATTGCAGTAACTATTGCAGTGGAACTGCTAAAACGTAAAATATCAATAATTAACATATTATTTAATATATAAAAATAAATCTATGAATAAAAGGTATAGTCAAAAATCCATTAAAATTTCAGAGGGGGGCAATCATTATTAACAACATCATTATTAACAACAATGTGAACGGAGGGCTTCGATCCCACACATATAATAAAGAAGGGAGCTTGACGGACTTTGAGGGAAGAGCGAGCTAAGCCCCATAAAGTTCTCCTTCCAGATTTCCACCAATTCTTAAGGTAGGTGAGCCAGCTGAATGATGGTAACACCATGTAAATTTCGATTATTGTCGTCCTGAACCTTAAATTATAATAAATCGGATGTTTATCGTTAAACTCAGTCTATAGTCTAAGTGAATTTTATCGTCTATGAACACCAAAAAAAATTAACTATTGTTAAGCTACTATTGAACCATTGTTAAACCAGGTCGAATTTGACTATGAATAACACTGTATATAAGTCCGTAACCAAATAAGAATGGAATATAAAATTAAACTAAAGAAATTGATTTCATTTATTTGATTAAAAAATAAAAATGATTCTCGTCTATTATAATTATTTTATATTTGGCGAATTTGACAAATAGTATCTTGACAACTAAAAGTTTAAGAAATAAACTTTTTGAATAACTTATAGTTGTATGAACAGAATGACACATATTTAATTTTTTTTTTTCATTAGGTTATAAAAAAGTTTAATCTTATTAGTATAAGAAAATCTAACAAAAACCTTTTTATTATACCTATGAATACTTTTTTTTACAATCACATAAACTGAACATAGTGTCTCTATAAAAACACTGAAATCATAACTAGATTGTGCTTTAAAGGAAAAACGTCATTGAAAGTGTTTTTCTATCTTTTTAAATCTTCTTTAGAAAACGTTAAAATGAGTAAAATAGGTTAAATGTTGGGATAAAAGAAAACTTTATACCTTTGAACACTGATTTTTTGTAGACTATCTGATTCTAATCGGATTGGTAAAGGCACAACATTAATTAAAAACTAGGATAATTTTTAATTATTATAATACATAATAACCAGGATTCAAGAGGAAGGAGGTGATTTTTTGCAGTTGTCATTCATTTAAATACACTAAAATAGTTGAAGAAGACTTGTTTAACCTTTCTATTATTATTCAAATAATTAGCATCTAAAAATTTTGTTTTAATAACTAATAAAATAATTTATAATTTATAATTATTTTATCGATATTAATAAAATCCAATTTTGTATGTAATATGTAGTCGATCTACAGCCAAGTATACCGCACTTGCATCGTTCTGAAGCATGTCTATAGATGATAGACCTTATACCCTAGGAGTAGGATGTGCACCGCCTGGAAGAAAATTATTTCAATTTTTAATTTTAAAGAAAGGCTCAAGCATGGATTTGTAATTCACGAAATACAATTTTATTTATTTGAATTGGGTTTCGATTGATTACAGAAAATCAAATAACTATTATAGTTTGATATAATTATATTTTATATTTGGCCGAAATTACTGTATTAAATTATGCGTAGTTTAAATCTAAAATAATACCCAACACTTAATGTCCTTCATAAAGAAAATTCCATGAACTATCTCTAATAATTGTAATGAAGTCAGCTTACTTTTAATTCTTACTTTTGAAAATATAAAATTTACAAAATGATAAAACAAATTAAGTAGGTAGGTACTAAAATAATTATTGATGAACTTATATAAATTATAAATTCATAAAATCATAAAACCAATAGAAGCGTAATGTTTGTCATTACTATGTGTTATTATTCGAGTTTGAATGTTTTTATATAAAAATACAGGTAGTATATAGTCATTACTTTCAACAACTTTCATTTGGAATATTCCTTTCGACTTTTTATATAAGTGTTTTGGACTCAAAACACAAAAGTGTAGTGAACCGTAAGAAATGTATTGGTTTTACAATGAAGTTTATTTTTTATACTTATCTGTGGACAATTTTTTTCAGATAGAAGAAGTGTTCAAAAAGTTTTGTCTACCATCTTCATGTATCGGAAATCGAGTTTAGATGGTACATTTAGGTGGTCATTTTTTGATTTTCTCTAAAATGGTAATACATAAGCATTAATAAGAACTATCGACAACAACTACAACTGTCAAACATTTTTGAAGAAATGTCAGCAATCCCGAGAAATTACCAAGTTCGCCCGGAATCATTTCTCGACAAATCGAATATGCGATTTATGTATTTATGATTTAATATGTGATTTATCATTGTTTTCAAATTTAATATCAGAAAAAACCACTATCCAACGCTGAGTTGAAAGTAGCCTGCAGAAATTCAGGATATATTCTGTCTTGATTCTCTATTGGTTATAACATATTATATAGTAAATAGTATTAACTAATATCAGTTATCATAATAAGGGTTCTAATATTTCATGAAATAAATTTTTTTGAAATATTAATGAAAGATAAAAAAAAAAAACAATTTTTATTTAAAACTATATAGAAGGAAGTTCAGTAAACACGTCTACTTAGTTAAGTTTTAAATGAAAAATATTATAGAAATATTTCTTACATAGTACATTCTACAAATTACATATAATAATTATATATCTTATACTCATATATATATATATATATAACATCTTCTTTTTATCATTATCAGGAATTAATTATTGATAATCACTAATCAGGTGTGAAATCAGTAAACCATCTAGTGATGATTTTATGAAACATACCAAAAAACATAGTGTAAAAAAATATTTTTTTCAATATTTCAAGAAAGGTGAAAGTTCCAAATTTGAAATATTATCATACAATAATTGTACGGAACCTCAATTACCGAAGGCGCTGGTGGTGCAATATAGCTGATTGACATAAACATTTATTTGTAGTCATACCTCTTCCGTCCTTGTACACATTAAAAAAAATACATTAGGTACTAAACATAAGAATCACTTTGATGTCTTGTAAAAATAGTTATGTTTCAAAAATAAATAGTTCCTAAAAATTATTATTCCTGTACCGTATATATTATTTAGTATGATATACCGGATATAATAGACTGTAGACTTACAGTTTTGTAAACATATTCATGACAGATGCGGACCGATTGATAAAATAATCAAAACAATTAAGAAAAAGTGTGGACACAATAATTATAGGTATACATCATAGAACATCATTGATGCACACCAAGTGAAAAATATAAAAATTATATTATGGTTCTACAATATAATATAGTTAAGTGATAGGACGCTTATTTCATGATAAGCAAAACCAAATATCCGATTATTTTTTCTTTATAAATTACCTACCATTTTATTATGCATAATGTTGATCTATATACATACGCAGATACGCTTCACTATAAATAATATTAATTCAACATTCGTATATTATA